TTCAGGCAACTGGAGATATTCCAATCCACCAGTAATAACTTCATTTCGCCACCTCAAGGAGCTGCTGACCCTGCCTAATCTGCATCAAGGATATGCCAAGAGCGAGCTTTGACAAAAGTCACCCGCAACAGCAGGGGTGGTGGCGGCGACGGCAATTACCATATAGTGGACAGCGCCGCCAACGAAAGTAGATCATTTCAACAACACCATGCGTGCCGTTTCCCCCTGCCCCCGGGCTCCGCGCCCGGGTCCAACGCAGGAGAGTTACGTTGCCTTCCTGACTGGCGCAGCCAGCTCCTGGCTGTCGTACTATTACGGTTACCAGGTGCGCATCTGAGAAGCCCCTAGGGCCCGGGGGTAGGAGGAGCGGCCCAAGAGCCTTGGTCGCCTTGGGTAGGAGGAGCGGACCAAGGCTCTTGTGTAGCCTCATGGCTAATCCTAGCGGTGATCAGCATCGGCCGCGGTGTTGGTTCACACGCCCACACGCACAGAAAGATTAACTATGTCAATAAGTCCCTACGAAAACCCATTGGAATCCCTCCCTGGACGGATGTTAACATAGACAAGCAGTAGCAGTGTGCTTAGTCGTAGTAGCCGTTCGCGTGCTTGGGCGGGGGCCCTGTACGGCATGTCGGATAGTCCTCATCGCAAGTAAACATTGCATGCATCCCACCTAGCCCTAAGATTGGGTTCCCCGCTCACCTTCACTCGTGAATCTCTCTTATTTGTGAATTACGTTTCAGGTTCGGTTCACAGTGATGCTCATTGCGCTGCTATCCAGCAATGATCCCCTTGGCCTGGAGTATGTACGAGTGCTGTACAGGTACGGAGACGTTTCTACTGCAGACCGCAATCGGTCCGCAACGCGGTAGGGCCTGACAAACTGCCCCAAAGCCTTTAATAGCCGTGATGCTGGTGGGTATCTGAAGAACAGGTGATACCCATTTTATTGACGAGTTACTGGGCAATGTGCAATGGCTATTCATGCATAGCGCAGAAAGCGAAACCTGTGCAGGTAACGAAATCATCCGCTTAAAGTAATGTCGTGCTGGTGACTCGGAATGAAAGGAATTCATCCTCGCTGCCTCCCTACCTGCCTGCTGCCTGCTTAAACCTGCCTTCCTACCTGCCCTCCTCACTACCTTCCTTTGTCCGTCCACAGTTTGGCGGATATGACCCGGCTAGTGGGTTTGGTGCTTAAACCCTTCATTCGGCTCCAGAAGTTTGAGCAGTAAGTGGCCGAACACGCTCTAACGTGTCCTAACAAGGTTTCCGTACGGAAACCTTGTTAAGAGTATTATTACGCCTTGTTCCCCTGGTGCAACCTGCTGCACCGCACACAACCTGATACAACGAATTGTGGCGGCAGCCGGCTTAGCACTTCCTTCCATTCTTACGAGTCCATTGAGGCTATTAGCGTACTATATGTATGTTTTCGTCGGGTGGGCGGGCGGGTGGGTAACAGGGTTGTAGCGACCTTCAGCTGGTCAAAGAGAACTGAGTTTGACGTGTTTGGTCGCGTATTGTTGCGTTCATATCCAGACGAGGCCGAACATCGTCATACCATCAATTATCTTCGACCAGCTGAAGGTCGCTACAGCTGTACCGGTCCCCCCCCTTCGAAAACCTGGCCACCTGGCCGGGGCTAACCTCCGTCAGGGTCCTTGGACTGCTTGTGGTAGTCTTCTATGACTGTGGTGAAGGTTGCCTCCCCGATAACAATGCAACATCAGGTTCGGATAGCACGCGTGCTGTGAGACGTAGAAGCCAGACCCGTGGCTACCCACCAGCAGTGGGACGCCGGCGGTGTCTAGTCCCGGGATTAATCGGGGTGCTGCCCAGGCTCCTTGCTGGATGAGGGCGGTCAGAAAGGAAGCCATCTGAGTGACCGACAGCATTTCGGACAGTAGCGCTGTGACGACATTTTCCAGCACCCCGATTCATCCCGGGACTAGACACCGCTGGC